AAAAAATTGATAATTAAATAATGAAAACATGTTTTACTATCACTGGTAAAGGTAATAATGTTTATATTTAAGTAGCTAGTTAGCCAATTTATTTATGCATGTTGTTTGAATGAGATACATATAAAAATAATATTGAATGAAGATCAGAGTCATTAAAATATTTTGCAGTCACCTACCATACTCATTAAACTGTAAAATGAAAGAATCTCATCTGATTTGATGAATATTTGATTTCATTTGGTGAACATAATAAAAACCTAATGTGAAAAACATATCTATTAAAAAGTACAGACACTGTGATTTTAAAAAAAGATCAACAAAATACCTTTACTAAGCTTTAGGCAATCTCTAGCCATATGACTTCTTTGTTTCATACTGTGTGTATGTGCATATATAGATATATAACAGAAAGCTAGAAAAATTTTATCAAACAGATTACATCAAAAGGAATGATAGCATGAATTTTTCACAGCATATTCAAATTATAGATGAAATATAATTAAATGTAATTCTATGGAGAAAGTAGTAAAAAGTAATGCTGCCACAAAACAAACATTCAACACTGGGGCACAAATCATAAGGTGGGTCATTATGTAATGTGTCCTGTTTTTTTTTAGTTACCAGCAGAAGTAAGACCCAAGTTCCATCAAGTGTACACCAGCTATCCAATTTAACTTCAACTTTGCAAGCCTTAAATGCTTAGAATAAAAAAAGAAAAGGAGCAGATGTGGGTGCTCTAGCCCACAACATCCCACATCTTTACCAACTTTTGCTGTCTGCAGCCAAATGTTGGAAGATGGTTGCTCATGAAACATATGTAAATAAAATTAAAACAGTAATAAAAAAGAAATATTAGAATACAAGACATCAATGGGGGAGGCAGCAAAACTGTCCTTCAAGTTAGCATTCTATTCCCAATATGATGTTTTGACATAAATACCAAGATGTTAAAGTATTACTATACTAAGCCCAACCTAAATTATTAGTACAGTTCCCATCCTCCACCCTTCCATACTGCTATCTGGATCTTTAAGTTTTATTATGATTAAATGTTTCACAAATTAAACTTCTTTATTATTATATTCTACTAATATATCATATTTCTGCTAATTTACTCAATTTAGATTTAAATGAGACTGAAATTTTGTTTAGATTTGTACATTAGTACCATATGATGGGCCAGTACTTCATACCATATTATTACCAAGTCTTATGCTCATAGCTAAGCATGGAAAACTTGTAAATAAGTATGTGCTTCTACAAAACACTGCTATGTTACAAAACAAGCTAGATTTGTGCTTTAACCTTTATTCAGATGAAAGTAGAGTCTTGTGTAATGATGTGTTTAAGGTTCTTTTCCAAGAATGTATGAACATGTTATCAAACTAACAATTTTCTTAGTGTCATAAAGCTAGACTAGAAATGGAAAAAATATATATGCAGAAGAAAAAGAGATCAAGCTTATATAATATCTAACTACTGATTTATATTACTAGATATTGTTATATTATTTGATACAATTAATTTAAAAAGTACAGTTGATGAACAATAGAAAGATAGAAAATTCACATTAAGCATGATATTGTATATTGCAGCATAAAAGCTGACCCTCTAAATCTAGGCCAAAAAATTCTGTAATTTCCTGATGACTGTTATACAAGTCTACCCCCCCCCAAAAAAAAACTCTACAGAAAGCCTATAAATTATACATATATATATTTAAAGACAGACAAATATTTACAGAGAAAGGTTTGTTTACAAATTATTCAACAGTACTGACAATAAAATTAAAAATCCATCAAAGACCTCAAATTTAGAATCTGAATTGCCAAAAAGTTCATTGAATTCACTTTGACTTACTGGTCATTGTTGACATTACATTCTTCCATGGGATCATTGGGCAGGCATCACACATCATTCATCCAAAAGGATATCATCCTCAGTTCCATCCAACTGATTGGAAATGCCACATTTCATAATTGAGTAAACAACACCGTCATTTTTTATGTTGTGTCATGCATCAATCAACCATTAACATACCATTGCTAAAGATGCATGGTGCATTTTACCACCGGGAGTGTACGATTTGACATCATTGATCACCTAAGAGTTCCATTTCACATGGAGCCAAATTCTCTACTCACAGCACAGTTTTGTCTTTTGAGAAAATTTTATGACTTGAATCTTGCTTCATATCTCATACATTTTTGAGGCATTTTGATGTTCAGCTGTTGAATATATCACCAAAATGACAACTAGAATGCACATTGTAACCTTTCCTAGAATTTAAAAACAAAGGCTCTGATTGATTGTTACTACTGTGCAATTCATTGTGCCAAGGTCAGCGTGTCATGAGTGATGTCTGCATAAAGAGTATTGTTTGGTATGTCTAAATAGATTAGTTCACTCGATTTTGAGGCTCCAATGACGATCATTTTTTTGTATCCGTTGCATAAGTTGAGTCCCCTTTCTTGGAATGACATTCTGTCATAAAAAAAATCAACTTATATTCCACAATATACAGTAAGTATACAACTGGAAAGAAAAACTGATACTACTGTCAGGTTTTCACAATTTATTTTACAGTTATAATAATGAAAATAATTACAGAAATATACCAGGAGACATATACAGAAGTCACAAATGAATAATGGAGACTAGATTGTAAATTAACTAAATGTCACAGAACATTATCATAAAGAATACAAAACAAAAACATATAAACTGTATAATGCACTAGTATTTTGTAACTGGGCCCTTTGCTTTACACTTTTTCATATTGCCATATAGTTGTTCAATGTGCAACTGTGGAATATTGTTCCAAATGTCCTGTATCACTCACAATTTAGCCAATATGTTTGTTCTCCTTTTTTACCTTATCAGTTTTCATAAAAGTTCAAAAAGCCTCATAAATGTTCATATTATGTCTTTGTATAGACCAACTTATAGCTGTGAATGTTCCATTGATCTCTTTTTACCATCAATATTGTTTCACCACATTTGCCATATGTTTGGAATCACTTTCTTGCTGGAAGATTTATCCACATCAAATGAGCCAACTGAGGGAGTGGCATAATAGATCAGATTCTGCATGAACTTTTCAGCAGTAAGGGTTCCATAAATTCTGTTTCAACACCACCGGATGAGATACAGTCCAACATCTGTATTGATCCCCCACCATACTTCACAGTAGATGTTTTACACTGATTATGAAACTGTTCTCCTCTCTTATATGAAATTCACTGTTCTTGATTGTTGCTAAACCATTTGAACTTAGATTTGTCTGTAAACAGTAGACGTCTTCAGTTTTGCTCATTCTAGTATCTGTGGTCTGATTTCCATTTTCTTTCTTTAAATGAAGATTTGCTCATAATAACTTGTTCTGATTACAGGTAGTAGTTTTATTGTGTAAATTTACTTGCTGCATAAGTACCTTTTCAAAAGCACATTACCATCATTAACCCTTTTGCTGCAGGCGGGTCAAAGAGAGCATGTCATGACATTTCAGTTATTTTCAAAATTTTATTAAATAACTTTACTATTACTTATGTCAATGGAACTGAAATCAAA